TGATACACTGCCATTGCGGTTCTCCTCATTCCCCAGCAGCATTTCGCAGTATTAAATTGTGACATTATGAAGTCGATTACAATTGGTGGAAGCTGCTGAGGGTTAAGGGTAGTGCGTCTGAAGGAGGTAATCTAGCCAAGAAGAATAGAACCAATCTATAATGGTCGAAGCGTTCAGCTCAGAAACTGTTGAAAATTGCCAACTGCATTGATGAGGTGGTATAAGGCCAGGATCTGCGAACTTATTAGCTCCTCCCTCTTCCCAACCGCTCCAACCCCCACACTTCATGTTAATGCCATCCTAAAAAGGCAAATCAAGAAGGGAAAGGCGCGTGATGTGCCTCCTTTATTTATTCAGGATCATTCATGCAACAGCCATGTGCTTCTCGACGTGTTCGCTTGATGGTGGGTGTTGAGCCATCGATGCAACGGCCATGTGTGTCTGACCATGCTGGGAGTGATGTGCAGACCGGTGTGGAGGTGCGTCATCCACTTCTCCATGGACTGCGTGACGCGAGCCGCATTCAGCGCGACCGGTGAGAAAGATGGTGGCGAAAATGAGGTGGGCAATCATGGTGGGTTGGAGTGAGGACAACGGACAGCGTACCTTTTATAGGCTCCTTGCGTGCATCGCTTGGCAGCAAGTAGTGCAGGAGGCGAGGTTGTGATAAAGTCCATGTGGAATTGCTTTTACCAGCACCAACAGCACCATCACCACCCCACGTGGGGTTCGAACTCATTTTCCCTCAACGCTTGAGCTACGATGTTATCAGGCTTCATTGCGTGGATCTCGTTTTGGGTTGTCGCAGTGGAAAGTAGGGCAGGGTGTTTATGAGGGACAAGAGACTAACAAGGTGGGAACTTGTGGTAGTGGTTTGTGGAGGGGATCTCAGACTTGCGACTGCTTTCGAAGGTGAAGGAATTGGATGATCCCACTGGTGAAAGCAAAAATACAGTTGAAGTGGAGCTCACAAGGCGTCCATTGGTAGACGTAAGAATGGCAAGTGGTGTTCGTCTAGAAGGGGCCCCAGTGAGAGAACAGAAGTGCAGAGGACGCACAATTAAGATGAATGGGAACATGTCGTGTACACTTTTCTTCATTCTGCATAACTTGTTAGCGTTTGCGCGGTCGTAAGAAGGAGATTGGAACCTTAGAAGTTTGTCTTAAGTTGGTTTGAGACTGCTGGACAGGGGCTGGTTGATTGGTGGAGGGATTGGATCGAGATTGGCTGCGTCCACGACTGTCTGTCCCCCAACTTTGTCCTTTTTAGTTGCACAGACATCCTCCCATTTTTAAGTTTGAGTCGACCTCTATGCGGTTGGTAAAAACTTACATGGAATCAAGCATCGCAAGCAAATGGGTGCACACACACCCACACACACCAAATGTGTGATTGGTGAAATCGTCATGTGCTTGAATGTGACCATGCTTGATCCACTACTAGTGATGCAACAACGGAATCCTTGAAGGAGGAGGTCTTAGGTGCCATCATCAAGAAGTTTTGTGCCAGTTTTCGCCTTCTTCGTCTATTCGGTATTTGACTTATTGGTCAGAGTTACCAACGCTCCCTGCATCCGCACCCTCTTTAACTCTAATGCGTACATATGAGGTGACTCGGAGAGGACAGATGCCAATGACTCACTCCATTTCCGGGGCACATCACCCCATCAAGTGCTGTATAGTGGTGACACCTCACCGTGCCTCAACAGCCACACACTACCTGCGATGCTTAAAGCCGCGCGTCCGCACCCCTCTCCTTCAGTGAATGCAGGCATCTGTGTGGGATTTTGTGGGCACTGCTCATTTGGATTGACATCTAGACGAATCGGCTGCTCGCGTCATCACAACAGGCCTTCGAAGCAACGGCGTACGTCTAATAAGGCCTGCTGTAGGTGCTAAGGGCCAAAACGTGATCTTTTCTGCACCATATTCTAGTCAATCACATTTTGGGATTAATAAGTAAAACACTTATGGTTAAGATGGAAATGCGATCATCTTATGCTGCTCCATGAATTAACGATTGAACAAAATCATGGTTCAGAACACTTCTTCACGTTACACTTGTGTTTCTGTTTAGAAAATGGTGCACTTCTGATTGCTAACGCCTCTAGTCTGCTAATATTTAGACGACATTTTTGAATCATCATCTCGATTTGAGCTTGGTAAATAAGTTGAAGCAAAGATGGCGGCTATGCAAACGAACCGTCTCCTTCCTCTCTCATTACATTTAATGCTTGCCTTTCTTTATTAATATCACTTCATTGCAAATGGTGTGCTGTGATAGCAGCGGCTTGCATTACCTCTCATGCTCACATCCACTGCGTGGCATTACGTGATGCCTTTTTTTCAAGTTGATGTCTTTTGTGTATTCCTTGTCATCGTATGTGAATGATGGGCGGGTG